AAGAATAAATAAGAAAGCATACCTGTATCTAGGTATGCTCTCATTTTACGCCTCGTATTAAAAGACCCGTTTGATTAAAGTTTTCTTTACTAACACATTTTGTCCAAATTAAAAGCTTCAAAGAAAAAGGCTCAAAGAGCAAGAAAAGCAAAAGTTAATTCAAGAGACTGGCTGCAAAGATTTTGAATTGTGAAAGGTGTAGGCAGAGTCTGAGAAGGGTCTTACCCAAAACCAAAAGTGAAACACGGACCTTTCAAGACAAATGGAAACCAAGGGGGCACGTGTTTAGGACTGAAACACAAAGGGTAGGTGTGTGAAACAAATTGCACAGCCATGTTGTTGAAGCAGACAGTGTTCTGGGACCCCTTTAAGATGCTTCTCGACAAGATCTTTCGATCAATAAGGTGCTAGTGATGAAAATACACCCAAGGATCGAATGGCCTCTTCCCTTTTGTAACGTTTTTTTCTGGTTTCATGAGTGCTGTTCTAATCGGGGGCAGAAAATTGAAATGTGCAGTGTTATCCACTGGAGAAGCTGCGTGTTGAAATGCGTCTGGTCCAACGCCACAGCACAAGTGGGCTCGGTGTGGAATGAGCTGCCCATGTCCCCATTGCTCCCTTCCACTGCAGCAGCCACAGCCACAGAGGAAGCAGCAGCCTAAGAATGTTAAGTGCTTAACAGACAAGCCCTTTCCTGAGCAATCTTCAAAAGATAATTGGTGGCCACTGGGACTTAACAAAAACATTTGTTTCTCTCAGATCTCGGACTCGCCATGACTGTGTCTTCCTGTTGCTGTTCGTCCCTCTTGCCGCCATTCTCAGCCACAGCTTGAAGCACTCAGTTATTGTTTCTGGAAGGTGCTCAAAGATACTGTACTTGTGGCTTAGAGTATTAGAGGGCAAAGACCAGTTATATTGTGCTAAGCTAGTGGAACTTATGAATTGCCTTTGTTAATACTGTTGTGCATATAACAGACTGAAAGATGTGTTAGACCTTCACACAGGGCACAGAAGCACAGGGCAGGTGATCTGTTGTTTCTCTGTCTGGTTGTTGTGTGTCATTTTCAGTGGTCTCTGCAGTTCCATTCCATCATCATCTCAAATGATATCTCTTATCTGTGTTTTACCGCAAAGTGAAGGGGTTAAAAGGAGTAATAGCATTCTTGTCTCCCTGGAGACACTATCTTTTTAAATAGTTGCATTTATTTCATTTTAATCCAATGCCATGCCAAGCACGTGCAGTAGGCACCAAAAAAAGAGCTAGCCAAATCATTTTCAGAGAGCAATAGGGAAAGTCAGTGAAACTTGCTTGCATGAATTCGGATGTTAAGTCATTTCCACCTCTGTAGAACAAGGTAGAAGTGTGGTTATGTGAGATGCATGGGTATTTTCACTGTTCACATGCCGAACACCTTGTGATTGCTGTGGACTGAGGTGCTTGATAGCAGCAGCCCATTGACTGTGGTTAAAGTTTTTCGAGGTGTGAATCTCCTCAGGCTGCTACACCTAAAGAAATACACTTTGCAGTCATGTTTTTAGCTTTGCATTATTCATCAAACGTCAAGGAAAATATAGGCATTCCAAGTCAAATGCAGTGAATTTGACAACAGTCGAGCTTCAACTCCTGTGACCTTATTAAAATACAATTTTCTTCCATTAATGTAGTTTTCAGTGCTCAGCCCATGTGAGTTAATAATAGTAATTAATTCCTTACACGTATATAGTGCTTTTCTGGACACTCCACTCAAAGCGTTTTACAGGTAATGGGGAATCCCCTCCACCACCACTAATGTTCAGCCCTCACCTGGGTGATGCGACAGCAGCCATAGTGCCCCAGAACGCTCACTACACACCAGCTATCAGTGGGGAGGAGAACAGAGTGATGAAGCCAATATGGGGGATTATTCAGAGGCCTTTAGGACCCACACAGTGAGCACCCCCTGCTGACACCACTTGCAGCAGCAACCTTAGTTTTTCCACAGTTTTTCCTTAGTTTCTCCCATCCAGGTACTGGCCAGGCTCACACCTGCTTAGTTTCAGTGGGTTAGAGGGTGAAACCCTCAGTTTACTATGAGGGGTCTGTGGAAATGACTGATCTTTTGTGTTTGGTTTTCAAAGGGATAAAAAAAAGAATCCCAATCTGTCAAATCCATCAGGACTAACAGGTAAAGCATATTTGAAAGAGATTATTTTTACTAAAGGTAGAATTATAAGGAAAAAGTTTGCTTGAAATTAGTTTTAATCATTTTTACAATGTTTACCATCTTTGCAAAAAAAGGATCTAAATACAAATGTGCTGCAGTCAAGGTTTACCTTTCAGTGTATCAGTAGCAAACTGTGTGCAGTTCATAGGAGGAATTTTAAAGTGAGGTGGTTGTTCATGTCTTCATTACATGCTCAGTCTTTGGGATAACTGTCACTTGAGCAGTAAGATTGATGTGTTTTAGTTTTGTGCTGTATTTGCATCTAATATTGAGTTTCAGGACCTTGAAAACACAACTGCGCCCACAGCATGTTCGATGCCACTCACAAAACCAAAGTCAGAGCAGTATATCTGAAATTGCCATGAGCTCAGCGGTTTAGTGAGAATCTTAAGTGTTAAGAAGCAGAAAGCATTGGGTGGCTTACTTCTGTGACAATCGGCGCTGAATATGCATGTGTAACAGGGTGCAGACCTTTGCAGAAATCAAATTGCCCGTTTGAAACTTAGATGATTAATTTATAATAGTCACATTCGCTTACTTTTAGTTGAATTCCAGGCAAAGGAAATGCATTGAGCATAAAAACAAATCTCAAGGAGCACATGACCTGCTCTGCTGCAGTGGAGTCTCTACGGAGTAACGCTGTGTGTGTTAAGAGGCTGCAAGAGACTGTGATTGAATCCCAGCAGGAGCAGAGCAGAGCTGCACCCTTCTTGCGTGAGATAACAAATGCTGCAGTGGCTCATCAGTGAGACAGTCGTGAGAGAAGCCAGGTAGAGATGGTGTGAGATTGGCTTGCTTGAAAATGTTAGGCATTTGCTGCTACACTGTGGGGCAATCTTCCATTGGACACCGAGAATAGTGTCCTCACCTTCTGCCATGGCGTCACGGCTTATAAAGCACTTTGAGGTGCTTTTAATGTGAAAGGTGCAATTTAAGAGAGGAAATAGTATTAAGAACATGTGAAATATGGCAAATGAGCTCAATTGTAGTGAGCTCAACCCTTTGTGCTTGTTGTTTTGCTAGTAGTTTAATGATCCAATAATTTCATCAGGCCCTTTCATAAAGGCTTCTAAATCAGTGGCTTTACAACCAGGATTAACTCTGATCATACCTTTTAGGATTTTTAATATTTCAGTAAAGTCCTCAAGCTGTCACATCCCCACATCTTAATTTCAGGCTGAACAGATTCCCTTCTTTTGTGCAGATTCCCTTCCAATCAGGAATTAGTCTGGCTCCCTTTTTTGTCCTAGAGTAATAATGTTTTCCTTGCAAGGTGGGGACCCAAACCGATTATGATATTTAGCGTTTAGGTGGATTTGCTGGGCGGCACAGTGACACAGCTGTTAGCATTGCTGCCTTGCAGTGCTGGGGCCCTGGGTTTAATTCTGGTCATGAGGTGCTCTCTGGGTAGAGTTTTGTTTCTGGGAAAATTGGCCCTGGTGTAAGTGTGTCTGTGTGTGCCCTGAGATTGACTTGGTTGCTGTCCAGGGTGCACCCCATCAGGTGCCTGTTGCTTGCTGGGATAGGCTTCAGCTCCCTTGTGACCCTATTCTGGATAAAGCAGTTAAGAAATTGAGGATTATTTGGATTTTTTGCAAGAAATCCCTATTTTTTATTAACTTAACGGCATTAGCAATGACACTTTTGACATTTAGCAGTAGAATGACAGTGTGAAAATCCATTAGGTTGGAGTTAAGCTTTAGCCGTTAACCAGATATGTGCAGTTTAGTTGTTTATTGTGGGACTTCATTTTGATGTTTCTTAATAAGGTATTTTTTTTAGCAGAGCTATTGATCTTTTTTCAGTCCTCATATTAATATACTGCGTGCAGGATCGTGCCACACTGAAGTAAGCACCCTTGATCTACATGACGTGACACAAAGCCCTGAATGGCATAGGGTGAGCAGAATCTGGAGACATGGATCTGAGCAGAATCTAGCGACGTGGATCTGAGCAGAATCTGGCGACATGGGTCTTGTGGACACATGATTTCGCTCACACAGAAGGCTGATATTTATACTGGAGCGTAGAATTGCGGTGGGGAAGTGGGCTGTTCACAGGCGTCTGTCTCACTATGGCAGTGCTGTCTTACATATTGGTGGCTTTTAATGAACATACTGATTATTCATTTCTATGACTTATATTCTGTTACATCCAGTGTATAAATTGTCGTCACCTGCAAACTGCAGTCGGTGTGACAGGGCTCTCCCAGACTCTGGAAAAGAATTCTGGAATCCCCTGCCCATGCACGATATAGACTCGGAGTCTGGTGAAAGTTTTTGTCTAAAGTTTTTTGTTTTTGTTTAAAAATACATTACTGTGATGTTTGCTTCTAACTTTTGTTCTGGTTTATTGACGTTTTAATTTGTCGTCTTTGCTTGTCTTCTTACCTCTTAACTTGGTTTTTGTTATTTGGCAAGTGAAGACCAGCATCTAGATAGGAGTGTAATATCCCCAGTACTCCAAGGTTCCCCCAGTCTTTGTGCCTTCCTCCAGCCTGCCACAGCTGGGCCTGTCCTGCCACTGTCAGCACCTGGAAGAGCCCTGCTTGTGCCCGTGACATTTAGGCTGGAGAGTTAACTGTGCACTCCAGGCCAGGCCTGCACAGCCACAGAGGAGTCCTAAATTTAAGCAGCTGACCTTTATTGCTATTGTGGGTCTGTTTCCGTGGTTGTGCCCCTGTCACTGTTACAGGAAATGCAGATGAAGATTTTTTTTTCTTTAAGCTACTCGTTTCACATTCCGAAAACTCAAAAGTTCAATTTAAAAAGATTTTATTTTTTGTTTTTCATGCAGGCGTTGAGTTGGGACCATTCCTAGGCTCTGACGACAGAGGCGAAAGCTTTCCAAGGTTAGTCTAACTGCGCTCGTCTTGCATACTGTAGGTAACCTGACAGGGAGTTTTATTTTGCTATGTCTGGTTGTTTTCTTATCTCTTAACTTGTTTTTCGTTATTTCTGTTGTCTGCATTAATGGCCAGTGTCAAACATGGTAGGGAAAAATGGCATCCAGATAGGAATGTAATATCCCCAGTATCAGTAGTATCAGTAAACAATAAATTACTTCAAATGATGTAATGTACAATACAATGTAATGTAAGTAAATGTCAGAGTCAGTAAACAATAATTCACAGTGCCAGGATCTGAAGGCCTTCTGGATAAATCTGTAATACTAGTACTTTACAATTCCCTTGGCTTGTACTTTCCAAAGGTGTGCTCCTTCTCTTTCACTTTTGTGCTTCACTCACAATACCGTACAGAAGGGTCTTGCCTTTCAAAGTCAATTGTTTTGTTTAAACAACCTTTGACAGCGTCGCGAAACAGCTTGCCTACACTTGATAAAAAGTGTTAGAGGTTTGTCGAAATGGGGGAGAAGAAGATTTATTCATTTTTCCAGGTCACGATAACATAAAGCCCACTGTATCCTCAGAATGCATAATGCTTTCGTCTGTTTAGATGTAAGCACACTGAGGCACTTCAGCAGTAATTTTGGTGACTTTTCTCTTTCCAGAGCCCCACTATAACAAAACTGAAAACTTGATTTTGCTTTAGCAGCCTTATACAGTACCATTATCTTTCATGCGAAGAGCACAACAACAGGAAAATGATTTGCATTTGCAGTCCGGCTGGTTGCCAGAAAGGAAAACATTCACTAAACTGGCATGTTTTAATTATTGTGCAATAGCCATGTTACATGAAGTGCTCATAAATGGTGGGAAATGTAAAAAACCTCAGATCTTGTCAAATAAATGTGTTATTTTTCTGAAAGTGAAGAATTTAAGAAACAAGCATCCTTACTACTGACAAAAGTCTTAGCAAGTGGCTTCTGAGCCAACTTAATTTTCAAGGACTGTTTGTAAGAGATTTATCTGATCATACTCACAGTGCAAAGCAAAACTGGAATATTTTAAAAATGTTAACATTAAGTGCTTTTGCAATTTTCCAGTCATTGTCATATTACCTTTGATATTAAGTTGGGAGCTGTTTTTTTTACATTGGAGATGCTCTTCTGACAACTTTGTAGATTAGTTATTTCTCTTTTTTATTTTGCTCAGTCATTAATTGTTAGAGTAGTTCAGGTGGGTAGCTGCATCAGCATGCATAGGCTTCAAAGAAACAAGTAGTTTTTTTTCGTGCTGAAAAGAGAAGAAAAAAGACGTTTTGGCTGTGGAACCTTCTTCGGGTTTCTCTTTTCTCCTCTTTGCAGCATGGAATAAACCTTTACTTGTTCCATTAATTATTATTATTTTTATAGTAGTATTTTAACTCTATTAGTGCTTTCATCATAATGATACCCAGAATAAGGATTCTTATTGGTGACTGTTTGAAGTGGCCTGTGGAGGAAGACATTTGGAATTTGGCAGAGCGTGTGTGTTTGGGATGTGTGAGGCTGAACTGCCCTTTCTCTGGGTTTCCAAGCTCTCAAAGAATGTGTTTGTGGAGGACATCAGTCTATTATTTAGACCTGACACTGTAGTACAGCCATTTACTGTACATTAAGACTGAGAGTAACCCAAGACAGCATTGCACTCCTGAACACTGACGTCTATCTTGCAGTCTTGGGAAAAGGCAAAATACTTTATGAAGAAAAGTAAATGAACGTAAGCAGTATATGACACGGTATGGGTTTGATCACCTGCATTATACCTAATTTAAGACCTCCTTTGTTTTCTTGAGCTGTTTCTGTACAATAGCTTGGCAGTGCAAAAGGAGATTTGTGGTTCTTCGATGTTCATTGGCTGTTACAGATCTCACCATATCTCAGATGCTGAACGAGCCTGAAACAGGCTAGTACCGGGTTGGGAGTAAATGGCACTTATCCCTCTGGACCAGAATTTCAGTGGAACACTGGTTTGGTGACAGGGGACATTGTCCTGTAGGAGGTGTTGTCCTTTGGATGAGATGTTAAACTGAGGTTCTGACTGCATTATCTTAAAGATCCCATGTTATACAGTGTAGAGCTGTGAATCCCAGTGTCCACTCTGTAATCAAATAGTAATAGTTGATCTTTCCTTAGTAAGGTTGGAGGAGCAATTTCTCGCTTATCTACAGTATCTGATCTGTTGAATAGCATAGTCTCTAGCACATAATGGCTGTATCACAGTATGTATGGTTGCAAATCAGTCTATTTTCTATGTAGGCAATAGATTCATAGACAGGATATCATCATGCTACAGCCTTTCTTACTGCTAAGGTGTACTATTTGACATATTGTAGATGGGTACCTGGAACGACTCTAACTATGGTTATTGTTGAAGCTGACAATATCACGGCACTTGACTACCTTGCTAACCTGCTGTCCATTTGGGATCCCATATTGTGTGAGGCAGGTTGCCTAGAGGAGTAGTCAGAAGTGAGGAGGCTTGCTGTTAAATCCCTTCCAGAACAGGACAGAAAGTGTTCAAGGTCATCCCAGATTATGTTAATCCAGAGTCCAAAACCAATCAGCTCAGTTTTATTCAACTGGGATACTTTGGTGATCCACTAGAAAATTGTCATGGAAACTAAGCTGTCTCCTGTAAGGGGACACAGATCCTGTCAGTATGAATACGCACCCCAAATATAGTGAGTTAAACTGATAGGGATGGTGTCAGTATTTAATTTAAACCTATATTCTTTTAAATTGGTTTCCAACTGGGCCTGTGTACTTCACCAACAGCAACTAATGAGCTGGAGTTTTCAAACCATCAGCAGTTGGTCTATCAGTTATAAATTCTGATATCAGTCTTTTTTCATGTTCTGAACTGAACATGAAACCAACAGAAAACTTGGGACAGCAATGACAGACTGCTCAGCGTCCCACAAGGTGTTTGACAATATCAGTACTGCTGCTTTATTTTGTGACCGATCATGAATAAGAATTGTAGAGTTCCAATTTCATTTTGAGCGTGCCCTCGCGCAATATTTTCCTCGAGGTCGCAACATTAAAAAAATATCATTCTCAGATGGGGTAGCACAGTGGTGAAGTGGTTAGCAGCACTGGGTCCCTGAGTTCAATTCCAAGGTGCTGTTTGTGTGGAGTTTGCATATTCTCTTCATGTTCAGGTGGGTTTCCTTGGTGTGTTCTGATTCCCCCCATGCCCAGCATAAAAACATACTGGTAGGTTAATTAGCTTTTGGGCAAATTGGATCTGGTGTGAAAGTGTTTGTGTCCATGTGTGCCCTGCGATGGAGTGGAGTGGTGTCCTGTCTAGGGTGTTCCCTGCCTTGAACCCATTGGGATAGACTCCAGCTCCCCTGCCATGCTGAATTGGAAGAAGCAGGTGGAAAATGGATGGATGGTTGAATGGACAAATCTCAGATACCAAGTAAATAGATGCTTCCAGAGAACTGTCATTGCCTTTTTGCTAGCTATTGAAGACCATGGCTGTAGAAGTCTGTTACTACTTGAAAGTTCAATTAAAACAAAGAGGGGACAGTTTGTTTAACAAAACATTATGGCATTCTGGAACAATCTACTCAACGATCTGTGGTGTTGAAGCCAATACCTTGGTTTCTTTGTCAGACACTGGTCTGTTATTCAGCAGCAGGAGTTCATTAGAGCAGCTGGATCAATAAGCTTTCCACTCACGAAATCACTAAGATGAACAAAAATGACCAAAGAAGTGGGAAACTCTGAGATTTGATTGCCTTTGAGTTGAAGTTGTTCATTGCACCTCCTGGTATGTAAATACATTTATAATGAAGGAAATTAAAAAGAAAAGAAATGATAAAGTCAAACATGCAAGGGGCAGTGATATGTAGTTCTACCCCAAACCACATTTTAAAAAATCACAGCACGTGACTGGATTTCCTGATCTGTTCCTGAGAGGAATTCTGGGGAACAGCTACAGCTACAGCTTCCTGTTATTGCTGCTCTTACTTGTTGCCGGTCCTCATAAATGTTCCTATACACAGTGGCCTTTCCAGTCCACACTGCATGGGGATAGGTGTCCTAGGGTGCAACAGCTTGAGGTGATGCTTTGTGATACTGCAGTCATTTGCCCCACATATTTTGTAATGTGCAGACATGGAGGGTCTTTTCAGAGGCTGTACAGTATTTTTGGGATTAATGAGTTTGATTAAGCAATGAAATGATAATGACATTCCAAACATAAACATGCACAGTAGGTTATTATTCGAGGAACAATAACATGTGAAATCACCGGTGGATATATTCACTAGATGTAATGGTGAAGTTAAACTTTGCATGGTGTGGGCTGTTGAATAGATCCGTTGAGGTCTGCGCACACGTGAAAGATGGGCTATTCCAGTTAGCCCCCGGCCTCCCATGGAGTCAGACACAAGGAGCTGTTGTGCACAGTCCATCCCTGAACAGTCGTCGGCTCTTTTCCGCTGAACACACGAGTCCATTGTTCACTGCTGCCTTCGTGGGAGCAAACCATCATCCTGATCACAAACCCTTTGGCCCTTGCATTCCTCCTTAGCTTGTAAGGCTGAATTTCCATCTCAGTTGATAAAACTGAAATCCATTAACATTAATTGATATGAAAAATGCAGTGCGGAACACGGTACACTTCTTCGAACAGGTCATTGTGCTGCAATGTGTTCAATAACTAATTCTTAGAGTGCAAGGTTGCAGTGTGTTTGCAGAGCTGACCTGCTGTTTTATGATTGCTCAGTGTTACAGTGGTGAGATGCAGACTGTTTAGTAGTTCGGTGTCAAAGTGGAAAGCTATATTATAAGATGCTGTGGTAAAAACTGCTAGACAAGATAATAATAAAAGTGAGCTTACCTGTTCAACAAAAATAACTCATTCTTTTTCGTTAGTGTAACGCAAAGCCTTGCGAAGATTACTGTAATGATGAAACCAAACTTCCTTTCAGTCCAAAAGTACTTCTGAGAATCTCT